TCCTCAGAAAACTACTGGAGGATGGTCTTCAAAATAGGCAAAAATGTATTTTTCATCCCTTCAAATTTATTGAAAGTTTGGGTTCCAAATACTAGGATAGAAATTCTTTTCCTTCAGAATTTTAGCGGCATTGCTTTAGTCTTCTAGCTTTTCAGTGTTGCTACTGAGAAATCTAATGTCATTCTGATTCCTGACACTATGTATAAAATTATTATAATTTTTTTTTTTTTTTGTCTTTTTTCCGTGTCCGTCAACGGATCGCAACCCTCAGTGTTGCCCCCGTACCGGACCGGGGACCGGCAACGGGATTGCAACCCTCGGCGTCGCTCCCGCGCCTCGCTCAGCCAGTGAGCGGGAACCGGTCTGTATGCGGGATCCGAACCCTCGGGCGGGAGCGCTGCTGCGCTTCCCAAGCGGCGCACTATCCAGTGCGCCACCGGGCTGGCCCCTAATTTTTTTACTCTAGAAGCTTATATAATTATTTCTTAGTGTCCCATGTCCTGAGATTTCATAATTTTGTGCTTTGGAATAGGTATATTTTCATCTTTTGGGCTGGGCACTCATAGAGCCTTTTCATTTGCCAACTCATGAGCTTCAGTTCTGAAAATTTTTCTTGAATTTTTAAATTGTTGATTACATATTCTTCCATCGTCTGTCATTTTTTGCAACTTCTTTATTCTGATATTAGACCTTATCTTTTCACTTTTAATTTCCACTTCTTTTCTTTTTATTCTACCTCCTGGGAAATTTCTTCAACTCTATCTTCCAGTTTTTCTATTGATTTCTTAATTTCTATTATAATAGTTTTAGTTTCCTAGAGCTCTATGATGTTCTCTGACAGTTTCTTTTTAAATAGCACCTCCATTTTATTTATTGGTTTCATTTCTTTCCCCACCCCCTGGATATTAATGATTTGAAGATTTTTTCTCCCTACTTAGTCTCTGTTTAATCCAAATTGCCTTTTTTACCCCTTCTTGATTATTTCACTCTCTGTCCTTCACCTAAGAGATTTTTCCCAGATGTCTGGAAATTCATGGTTGCTCGCTCATATTTAAAAGCAAGGGACAAAAGAGCTGATCAGAAATCTGAGCCTAGGAATGGGGCTTGTTGACCTGATTGGGCTGCTTCACTGAGAATCTTCCCTCCCAGCTGATTTCAGTACTTTTTAGGTCTTTCCTCTTGGGCTGGTCACATTCCCCCCAGAGAAATGTTTTTCAAGTAAAGTCCTGACTGCTGGCATTGTGGTTGCACTAGAGGGACGAGGGCTGAGGGCCTTAGCATCTAGTATGCGCACATTCACTTAATCCTCTTGTTGTCACTTCATACCCTGCCCTTATGAATGCCAGGTGTCTCCAGTCTAGTTGCTCTCTCTTTTACCCAGCCAGAGAATTAATAACTCATGTTTTGCCTGGATTCAGGAGGGGCACTCACCTCACTTTAAAGGTACTTGTTACACCAATTTCTGAGCCTTTTGGGGACTCAGCTTTCCCTGCTGTTGGCTTAAATTCTTTCTTTTTTTTTTTGGTGGTGGTGGTGGTGGGGTCTTCCATATAATTTACAACTCATTCACATGCTTTTCAGCTTTCAGAATGTTGTTGTTTCTTTCAACTTACCCATTCATCCTGTCCTTGTGGATTTATGCTTTTTAAAAAAAATCCCTTTGCTCGAAGCATTGGAAGAGAGTAAAAGTAGATCAATGTGTTTATGCACTATCTCTACTCAGAGTTCATGCCATCAACCCTAAACTTTTAGAGATATACCATGAACATAACTAGAATCCTCTAATAAATGTATCCATGACTTTATTTCAATTGCTGAGAGCTGAAATTTAAATCATAGATACTCTCTAACTTCATGAGATTTCACGCTCTATGCAATGGCTAAAGTAAGGCAAGGACAGCTGATTCCAACAACACATCCAGGCCAGGTAATAGGGCCTTTTTCTGTAAGGGCTCAAGAAACAGTCTAATTCTTTCTATTTAATATTAATTGATGACACTTGATAAAGTAAAGAACATTTTACACCAGGGGTTGGCTAACTCTTTCTATAAAGAACCAAATAGTAAGTATTTTAGGCATTGTAGGCTATGTATTCTCTGTTGCAACGACTCAACTCTGCTGTTTTAGAGCTAAAGCAGCCATAGACAATACATAGACAAATGACCATGACTATGATCCAATAAAAAATTATTTACAAAAACAGGCCATGGGCTGAAATTGGCCTGCGGGCCATTGCTTACCAGCATGTATTTTGGCCCACGGGTCAATTTCAGCCCACTGCCTGTTTTAGAACAAACAATATCAGTGATTAAATTACCAAAGGCAGACTTTTTTAAACTAAGATATTACAAGTGTCAAGTAACAGAATATTTTTGGACATTTTTCATCTCACAGATATTTCAAAAGTATATTAATTAAATTCCTTTCTAGAGTTGCAACACCTGACTAATTCAGATATGCATATAATCTAGCTGAGATTGAACAATATGAGTTATGTAAAATTATTCTTGGCTTTCATTTTATAGATTTTTTTTCATTCACTGGTCATAAAATCAATTCAATAATTTATTATTTATTAACTATTTATTGGACACCTAATATATCCATGACATTGTTCTAACACTGAAGATTAAGAGTAAATTAGACGAAGTTCAGCTCTTGACCAAATGACCAAATTCATTAAGCTCTCAATTTTTATTGAAGTATGGCTTTCCTTAAAGGCCTTAAAGTATGCTATTTGTCTCATCTTTATTAAGTATCTCAGACAGTATTTTAATCTTCATCCAACTTTGACCATTATGCTGCTCAATATATTTCCATCTTTAAAGGGCCTGCCACCACAGTATTTTAGTCACAGATTTATGATCTGTGCTGTCATATTAATAATTCTCTGGACTTATGGCTTCAATATTCAGGGACGACATGCATTGCTGGCATTTACTATGTTTGCTTTAAATTCTTGGGGCTTCTCACATATTTTTATTTTGCAACAAATTGAGAATTTTCAGAAATTCTAGGGCTTTTAGTATGACAAATATTCCTGTGCAATGACTAGTGAGCTCTAATAAAGCAACAGACTGGTTATACCATCTTTGCCCTCCAGGACCAGCCCCATCCTGATCCAGCCTCAGGCATCAAAGTGTAGATATCTTGGTGGTTATTGGGAGTTGGGGAGGAAACACAGGGAGGGGTTTTAAAAGAGCAAAGACAGATTTCATACAGTTTTGGCCTAACCTAGGGTTCCCTATAATATCTCCATCTAAGTGGCAGTTATGAAGCCAGAGCCACTTCAAGCCAAAACATGGTCTGAGTTAGTTTTAGGACAGATCCAAGGATCCAGCATAAGCCAAGAACTTCCCAGAGGTCCCACACTCCTGGGATTTGCTCACGGTCTTGCTTTTCTCCTTTGGGATAATCCCTTTGACTTTTAAACTACATTGTATTGTTCGAATTTTTTTTTCACTAATGGTAACTCAAGTGGAATTGTCAATTCAGAGATGTAGGGAGATGAGATCATTCACATTTGACAAGTGAGGAAACTGAGGCACTATGAGGTAGCCTCACAATGCAATTAGATGGCAGAGCCTTTCCTTAAACTCAGGTCTTGTCTTATTGTCAGTGCTTTGGCCTCTCTTTTTATCGGTCAAAGATGAGCAAAGTGACTCCTTTAATTGTGCAGTGTTCTTTGGATTGTCTTCTGCCCCAGCTCTCAAGGGAACTTAACCAAATATCAAGGAGGAGGAAAGTGGTAGAAACTGAATGAAAGGACAAAGCAAGGAGTTGAATGCTACATATGTTTAAAAAAATAAGTTATGTGTGAGCCCTTTCAGAAGCCTGATTACAAAATAGCAAAACTAGAAGGAAGGTCATAAGGTGAGGGCAAGAGGAATAATGTCAGGGGAGAGGAGTGACTGGGTCAGCACCAGTAAATGACAACAGCAATGACAATGGCAGCACAGCAGGAACAGGTCCCACTTCCAGGTAAAGGTCAGCCCATGTCCCCCGGGCAGGGACAGAGAACTAAAGCTAGGAAAAGATAAGAGGGCCTGGAGCCACAGGCCTCAGAGAACTGCAGTGAAGGAGGGGAGAATTCAGGAACTGCTTAAGAACCCTGCCAGAGGAAGGGTGGGGATTTGGGCCAGAATCCAACAATGCTACTATGCAGCGACATTTGCTTATTATTACATTTGTTCATCGTGATCTTTCTCCTTGTGATTGCATTGCTCCTGGGTGGTCTGGCCTGAGAATCTTGGGTTACACACACTCGATGCGGACACAGTTTTTGATCATAAGGAGGTTACAGTATAGTATAGTAGGGAGATAAACATGAACACAACTCTGTATACAACTCTGTGGTAACTGCTGTGATAGATTGTTTGTGTGCTGTGTGTGCACACACGCATATGTCTATCTATTTATGTATGCAAGATACTATGGGGGGATAAATTTTTGTTTGGTAAATAACTCAATGCTAATGCAACAAAATTCCCTATGTTATAACAAAATTCAGTAAAGTCTATGTTGCCAACAAATTATATGTGGGAGTACTTTGGAGAAAGAGCAAAGGAAAAAGAATTGTGTTCCCTTCCTGGGTAGCTGTGGAACAGAGAGAAATGTTGCTATGGTAGTTGAGATGTGAATGAGACTGAGTTGAGCAAGTGCAGAAACTTGGAGCCAGAGGCAGCCAGAAGAAACACAAATCCTCAAAGAAGTCAAGGGCATCGGTGGGTTTCCGTCTGTCATGGGATGGGGATCAAGTTGAGTACAATTTAATCTCAAAGCAGTGATTCCCAGCTGATTCTTGGGTCATATTTGTTTAATCTCGTTAAGAGTCTTAAACCTTCTGAGAGCTACTTCCTCAGTTTCCCAAAACTGAGGTCTAGTTTTGTTGTGTTCATGCCTCTCCTTGCACTTCCCACTTCCAAAATCCTTTCTCTCTTTAAAATAATTTTTCTTTAGCCTAAAATGTAGAGTGGCAGCATATTAATAACACAAAATTCTATGGCTTGAATAATGGTGTTTATTTTCTTTAAATACACTTAAATATGAAACATCAGATGATAGTTCACTAAACTCAGAAACTACAAGCTGGACAGTAATCAGAAAGTCAGTGCTGATCATACAAATCAAATTCGGCATAAGAAAGAATCAGAATAATTCACAAGAGAGTTGTAATTAGCAAAGGACTCAGAGACCACGCAGTTTTCCTCATCTGCTCTGAGGAATCAATCACATGGCCCCTGCCATTCCATGATGAGCAAACCTTTCTCATTCACCAAAAAAGCATTCCACATGTCGCCCCCCCCCCCATTCCTTGGTGTGCAGAGACATCTACAGCTAGAAGATATCTGTCAATGAACCAGGGAGTCCGCAGCTTGTGTTGAATGGAAGGTTAGTCTGGATTCATCGTGGTACTACTATGTAAAATGGATTTTTTTCTAAGACCTGGAAAAAAAAGTGACAGCAACTTGGCAAAGCTGTTTAAAATGACAGGGATGGGGAACTTGGAACAAAGCTTAATCAAGGATCCTCTCGGCTGTGGAGCCCCTGGGCAGCCCTTTTCTCCTTTGGAAAGCGGCAATGCTTTGCACATGCTGGTTTTCCATTTACACATGTTCTGGTATGAAAGGGGCATTTGTCCTCACAGCTGTTGCAAAAGAAAGTAAAGATGGGAATTGAGAATCAAAAACTGAATTCAAAGGAATAACTCTGTTCAGATCTGATTACGTTTTCAAAGGAAAATTTCCAGATATGTGTTTAAAATGTCAATATAAAATCCTGTCTCGTTTATCCTACATGGATTTAAAATCTATTAAAGCCCAATCTGTAACCTCCAAGTGTTTATTCATCAATAAATTTCTTGCTATGTAAATCCTGTGACATCCCCTTCATCAAAGAAAAAACAAACAAACATGCACGGACATAAGCAGTGAGAGAGAGATTGAACCAAATAGTTTGTTGATCTGAAATCTCCCCTCCCCAAAATAATTGTTTAAATCTCATCAATTTATTTTTTGCTTAAGAGATATAAACCCATGAAAGCAGGCAAAATTTTCTTAATTTCACAAATAATCATCCTGCTATGTACTGTTGCTTATCCCTTAGTTACCAGAACTCTGTTTTACTACCAAAAAGGAACTTGGGCACTGAGAAAAAGATTGGCTTAATACGGAATCCTACCTAACCAACATGGCATTTACATTAAATATCAATGAGTCAAGGCGAAAGTGAACAAGCCATTCACCTGCAGGTGTCTGGATGAAATATCTTGTGCTTCTGGCAGCAGCTTTCCAGACTTTCTTTGCACTCAAAGCAACTGCAGTTTTCTGGGTGCTGGATGAGATCTCTGGGACATGGCGTTTTACAGACACACTCACAACGATCTTCATCAAACTTCATGTGTGGCCCACAGAGAGCTGGTTCCTGGAGATGAGAGAGGTCTAAACAGAAATAGAAACATGTTGGTCAGCTAGCTGTAGCACAGATAATGTGATCGCCAAAGTTGACTGAATATTTTACATCATCCAAAAATGACTTGGATTCACCTAATCTCCTTTCCTGTAGATTTTTGCCCCTATTTTTTTTCACAGGGTTAAGAAGATTCACCTCTGATTTTGCAACATGAACAGAATGTATGTGTTTTCTTAGGTTGGTGATAAAAAATCATAAGCTGAATATTTTTGATAGATTTCTTTTTAGAAAGTTTTAGGTTGGTGATTTGTTAAAAATGCAAACTTCCACAACAAAGTATTAGTAATAAAATATAGGATTCTAAGGGAAGATTAAAAGGAGAGAGGAACAGAAGTATTGCTGTTATAGAAATACTAATCAGATCTTCCAGACTGAGGGTAGTAACAGTGATGTATTTCCTCACCACAGATCATAACACTGGCATAAAATATACAATAGTAACAATGAACTTTGATTTCATAGGTATCTGCTAGAAGATACATTCAGCTCAAGCGGAAGATCTGAGAAGTTTTTGACATGCTTATCTGACAGATTCTTCAAGAAGATATACAAAACAATGGATAGCTACTACACCATGTCCAATTCTGATTAACAAGTTGAAATTCATTGCAAACAAATGGAACAGACAGAAACTTTGGAAGAACTTGACTATGTCACCTTAGCATGCTTGAAAGCTTTGGAGGAAAGTGCATGTTTCGTTTCCTAACCAAACCTGCTTCTCTTCCCGTTGGCCTCGTTTAGGGAATGGCCGGCACTCTTGCCTCACCTGCTGTATTAAGTCTAATCACCACGTCCACTCAGTTCTGCCTCCCTGAATTTGTTTTTTTCTTTTCCATCACCACTGCCACTGCCTCAATTCGGTAAGTAGCTTGTATTTCCTGTGTAGATGGATGTCACTCATCTGACCACCACAAGTTTTATTCCTCCAATCTTTTATCCACATGATTATCACTTACCTCCACTGCTTTCAATGCCTTAATAGGTTCCCCACAATAAAAGGCAATTTTCCCATCAGGACATACGAGACCCATGAACTAGACCCTCATAACCTCCCAGACTCATCTTCTGTCCGTCTGTCTGTTTCTCTCTCTCTCATATGTCCTATGTTCCATCCATACCAATTTACAGTACTTTCTGTTTCCTTGATATGCCAGCACCTCTCAGCCCCATGCCTTTGGCCTTGCCCTTCCCTTTGCCCGTCATCCTTTCCCCTGTTATCTTTCCTAGCATCTGTAAGTTTACCTAAGTGCACCTGCCCTGCGCATATTTCCATCCTTTCCTTTCTTGCATTGACTACATTTGTCTATTTACTTCTGTTTCCCCTGTTAAGTAAAACATCCTCAAGGTCTCATGTTCTGGCATAACACAGGCACACGATAAAAGTTTGTTGGATTTATTTGGTGTAATAAAAGGGTACTGAAGTAGGCCGATGTACGGAGGCTCTGAAACTGCCACCCAGCGTTCCAAGACATTGGGTTAAAGCATATGTTCTTGCCATTATCTGTCCATTAATGACATACCCAAATGGCAATCTCATGTCATTCAGTCTTCTAGTTTTAACTGCTCTGTAATTGATGATGCTTGAGAAATTTTGTGAAATGGGTGCTGGAAAGCTAGATCTGGGAAGACAGCATTCTGAATTTCTGTGAAGAGGAAAAACGCGAGCTTTGTAAAGCCATATGCCATTGAGGCAGATGTCACTTGGAGGCAAGAGGAGAACAGATTGTTAAAGGATAGTTAAGAAGTTCTTAAAAGATTTGCACTAATCACTAGGTGGCAGCAGAGATTAACTCAGAACACTTCAGACGGGACCAACTCCATTCTTGAACAGGGTGGTTTAAGGAAACAGTCCACAAGGTGTTTGCAGAATTTCAGCAGGTTATTTGGCAGAGGCTGTCCTCACATCCTTATGGGCAAGTTCAAATGAACAGAGACTGGCTGCAGGAGAACTGAGTGGAACTATTAGTTAAGTGATATCCTGAAATATTACACATCGATTTCCATCTCTAGGGAAGTTGATGATGGGATACCAGTGTGTTCTATCCTCAGCCTTGTTCCATTTACCATTTTTATCAACAAACTGATGAAATTTTTCCAAATGAGTTCTTGAAATTGTGGCTCTCTTCAGGAAGGAAAGAACATACTAAATACTTTAAAATGCAGAACCGAGACCTTAGTTTTTTCTTTTGTTTTTGTACTGTTTGTTCATTCATTTTAAGAGTTTAGAGCAATGATCTGAATCTAACAAGGTGAGATTAAATTGGACTTGGATTCACTAACCCAAATGAGTTCATTCGGGAAAGAGAAGCCATTGTAGAAAAGTCAGTTGGCTTTACAGCCACTTGTATGAAAAAGAAGTTTAGTGAGCAGTAACCTCAGTATATATCACCAGTTTGATGAGGCCACTGAAGTAATGAACGTGAACTTAGCCCACATTAGGGAGTTGTGGGAGATGAAAATTAGAAGTGATCGTGATCCAGTCTACCTATGGCTCTCACTTCTGTCATTGCTACAATTTCCCAAAAGGTCCCCTGCCTCCTTTCCTATTCCAGACCAACCCATCCTCTTCTACATTGTCACTGGTTTGATATTGTTAGAATCTAATGGATGCTGTCACTCTCCTGTTCCAACCAGTTGAGTGGTTTCCTTTCGTTCTTAGCATCATGTCCAAGCTCCACACAAGGTCCTTCCGTTCCACCCTGTGAACCTCCCCAGCTTCCTCTCTCACATCCACACAGCCCCTCCCATTATGTCCCCACCCAGCTGAACTTCTTCTTGCAACCTGTACATGCTGTTCTCTCACCTCCAGCCCTGAGTGCTCATATTCTCCTGCTCAGAGCACTTTTCTCCTCTCTGATTACTTTTTCCACCCTCAACTCACATTTGTACTGGCTGAGTCCCTCCCTAGGAATTACGTCCAGCAGAAAGAAGCTGCCTCACCTAAGGTCAGGTCACCTCCCTGAGACAGCCTATATCCAATGACCAGTTCATAGGGCCCAGCTCCTTTGCCTGTATTTGAGGCATCCCATCAAAGGGGTCTGAGCTTCAACTCCCCGTAGGATTGGCTGACACCTCTTAGCAACTGTATTGCAGTAAGCTACCTCTCTTGCCACCCTTTAATGCGTTGTACATGCTTGCAAATCTCCTGGGTACAAAACTGTCTCAGAGGCTGTGTGCCTGGAGCCGTGTCAACCAGAGCAGCCTTTAAGCTCAATGTATATTTCCTCCCAGGATAACTTTCTAACACTATTAAACAATAAGTCACATGGAGAAAGAATTAGATTGGTTTTACATGGCTCTGTAGGGTAAAGCCTGAATTAATGATGATGCTTTCAAGCTGAGCTGTCCAACAAGGTAGCTGTGGGCCATATTAGACTATTGGGCACAAAATGGAGAGTTCAAATTGAGATGTGCTGTAAATGTAAAATACACGCTGAATTTCAAAGACTTAGCACAAAGAATACAGACCATCTCATTAATAATTTTTATATTGATTTCATGTTGCAACGATACTATTTTGGATATATTGGATTAAATAAAATATATTAAAATTAATTTCACCAGTTTCTTTTTACCTTTTTAATGTGAACTATACAAAATGTAAGTTACGTATGTGACTCTCATATTCGATTGGACAGTCTGTTCTACAGAGAGAGAGATTTAGGTTCAATATGCAGTCCTTGGTGCTGCCTCAGACAACTGATGTCTCTTCTGGCCCAGGATGGCTGAACACTTGGTGGAAGGGTGTGGAGGTCATTCAAGATCTGTATGGGCATTTAAACAACATGAACTTCAAGTTTCCCTCACACCCTGGGTTGAGCTTTCATGGGAACATTTAGAAGGAAGCTAGGAGACAGAAGAATAGCAAGTAAGTTGTTATTTACAGTTTCTAGCACAGATTCCTTAGAGTTTAATTCTTGCTTGTAGGTCATGGTTTAAAAGAAGCAAGGTTCAAATTGCATGATTCCTTGTGACTTTTTCAGTGGAACTGGGAAATAAATAAAAAACGCATCTGTTTTCATCCAAATGTTCATCACCAAAAATCATTGCATTGCAGATTATGAGCAATAATGATAATCTATCTCATTTTGTTCCCAGCTCCCCTTAGCTCAATAGACATGGTTTGCTTTTACTTTGCCCTAGTACCAGAAAAAGTTTTCTTTTATTCCCCATTTCTGTTTTCAAACTATTGCATGTTTTCTTTCCACGTGATGCAGTTGAAAGAAACCAAGTCCAAAATTACTTTACGTTCCTATGAGACTTTTATAAAAATAAATTAGTAAACTGTGGTTGACTAGTGTTTAGTTCTGAGGCAGCTTTCATTACAGTTTAACATTCCCTTTCAAATTCAATGCTTTAGGATGCTCTAATCACTTTGGGCTTTTCTTTGAGCTTAAAAAGCAGACCGATGTATCGGTGGACTTATTATATGGTTATAGCACAGAGGGCTCTGGAATCTGACTGCTTCTTTCAATTTTTAGCTGTGTGACCTTGAGGAAATTAGTAGATATCTTGGTGTGTCCATTCTGTTATTGTAAAAAAGGATAATGATAGTACATTATAGGATTATTGTGAGGATTAAATGAGTTAACACATATAAAAGACTTACAACATTGCCTGGTTATAGTAAGTACTCAATAATGCTTGTTGCTATTGTTGTTATTTTTATTACTATTATTATTTCACTATTGCTATTATTACCTTCTGTTCCAGCAAGTGGGTCCTCCTCTTGTAAAACACATTTACATTTATTGTTATCCCACAGCATGTCAATAGGACAGAGTTTCTTGGAATGGGAACAGCTAGGAAAAGAAAACAATGAACCAGACTTAAAAGCTTTCAAGGTTAATCATAATTCTGGAATATTAAATAAATTTCTGAGTGAAGAATAGTTAAATTTTTTAAATTTATTTTTTATTTTTAATCTCAGACGAGAATAAGTTTCTAGATCTATTGCACAGCATGGTGACTAGTCAATAATGTACTGCATTGTATATTTCAAAATTGCTAAGAGTAAATTTCAAATGTTCTCACCACAAAAAATAATAAGTATGCGAAACTAGTTAAGATTTTAAAGAGCGTAATTCATATTTATGAACTGCATCTTATTAGATAGTAATTACGTAATAACAAATATTCTATTTGGAAAGCTTTAGAAACTAAATTGTAATTTTTGAAAATAATGGTCTTTTTAGGAAGATGGGTGTTAAAACTGTTCAAATTATAGTTGTCAACAGGTTATCTACTAAAAGTAAATATTGTTCTAACGCAGCTCCTAAGATTATTTTCTTTAAAATGGGGGTAAGGGCCGGCCCGGTGGCGCACTGGATAGTGCGCCGCTTGGGAAGCGCGGCAGCGCTCCCGTCCGAGGGTTCGGATCCCACGTACAGACCGGCTCCCGCTCACTGGCTGAGCGAGGCGCGGGAGCAACGCCGAGGCTTGCGATCCCGTTGCCGGTCCCCGGTCCGGTACGGGGGCAACACTGAGGGTTGCGATCCGTTGCCGGACACGGAAAAAAGACAAAAAAAAAATAAATAAATAAATAAAAAAAAAATAAAATAAAATGGGGGTAAGCATATTGGCCAGGATATCAGGAACATCTTGAGAATAATTATTTCCTTCTTATGAGCTTTTTCTTCTGCTTGAGAGAGGTAGAGGTGTTTTCTTGGGTTATTATTCACTAACATGTAATCACCAGCTTACTCTCTCACTTGCCATCATATAATACATTTCTTGCTTTACTTTGCAAAATGTGAGTATCTAACTTAGTTACTTTGTCTTTTCATTCAGTGTAATTTGCCCTTTATTTGTTTTTCTATATTAAATCCTTTTTCTTTTTTAAGTTAATGATTCTTAACTTTGGTTTCAGAGCATTTCAGTTTCATAATTGGTCTCATAAGGAATCACAAAATTAGTTTCAAGAAAATTTCAAAGTCAAATTAATTTTAAGTCATTTTAATTTAAAATAAAAATTTTACATTCGGTAATATTAAGGGGAAAGTTTAGAAAGTTGTAAAACTTGTAGTTTTATCACTTCTCAATGACTCCAGGAATCTTCCCCCCCCCCCATTTCAAGACTTAAACATACAAACAACATGATATGAATTTTATTTAATGCTGGTTTTGGAATGAAGGGACATGTGCCAAATTTGAGGCTGGAGCAGTTTTACAACTGCATTCGACTATGCATATAAGAACAAAGGTGCCTATAAGTAGACATGCTGAGTTCATAGCCACTGAGCTTTTTTTCTTGCTGCAAAGTACACCTAACACCTAGTAAAAAATATATTTGCCAAAAAGTTATTACCGGTAGATTTGGGTTAGAAGCTAAAAGATTAAGAACTTGAAGAGAAAGCAATAATTCTACAATTAATGAAATATTCTCTACACACAGCTTTGGCAAAGGCAAGAACAAGCACAAGTGAGTACAAGAAATGCCTACCGATCTTCTTCTGGGATCTGGATGGACCTTCTGATAATTGAGTATGGATGGCGGGGGGCTGTTGGCAAGCACTTACAACCTGTATGGTTGGCAACTTTCACAGGCACCAATTCAGGTACTGATGTCAAAGGCACTGATATCTCAAAAAGCTATAGCAGAGAAAGATAACCATAATGCATATATAATTTTATTTCATATATTATTTTTATTTTAATTTATTAATATAGAGTATAGTTGATTTTCATGTCCCTTTACCAGTTCCTCTTTTTCCCCCTCGCTCTCCCCCTCCCCCATCATATCTGTTCACTTGTCTTAACAAGTTCAAGGAATTGTTGTGATTGTTGTGTCTTCTTCCCCTTCCCCCCATTGTTTGTATATTTATTTATTTATTTTTATTAGCTCCTACGAGTAAGTGAGAACATGCAGGGTTTCTCTTTCTGTGCCTGGCTTATTTCACTAAATATAATTTTCTCCATATATTATTTTAAAAAATGTTCTACAGTCTCCATTTTTGCCTTTGTCTTTTATGGTAGTGACTTGAGCAAAGTTGTCTATTAAGAATGGAACTAATAACGATAAGGGATGGCAGAGTGCTGGGATGGGAGTCAAGCCCAGGGGCTTATCTAACTTTATGAAGTGTCTAAGTTTGGTCAAATCTCAACTTTTTGGTGTCACTGGAGCGCTTGTAAAATGGTACTGTTGGTCCCTGTTCCTGCTTTAAATTGAATGTAAATTGTAAAGATTAAATGAGATTAAGGCTATGAAGATTCTTTGAGACTTTGGTGGGTTAGATTATTATTCTAATTATTTATTTATCCCTTCCCATGCCATATCTATTGAAGAAATATAGTTTCCTATCTCTTGACTCTGGACTCGGCCATGTCCCTTGCTTTGGCCAGTGGGATGTTAGCAGACATGACACAAGTACAAATTTGAGCTGTACATGCTTTGTGGGGCTTGTTTTCTCATGCTTTTGCTTAGCCACGAGAAGAGCATGATCTGTCAGGCTTGCTGGTCTAAGGGATGCCAGACACAAGCAGACCTGGACTCACATTGCAGCTTAGCGTTAAGCCCAACTGAGCCCATCCTAAACTAACTGAACCTCAAATACATGAGTGAGAATAATTCATTGTTGTTTGAAGCCACTATGTTTTAGGGTGTTATATATCATTGTGGATTAATAGGTTACTGATACAAGATCACCATGTCTAAACAAATAATTATAGCTAACATGTATATCATTCTTTTTATGTTTCTACATGCCAACCTCTGTCGTAAGCACTTTTATATTAATTTGTTTACCCCTTATAACAGCATCATGGAGTGGGTTTTTTATTATCCCCGTCCGACAAGTGAAGAAACAGATGTACACAGAGATTGTACAAATTTCTACGGTGGTTCGGTGATGTGCGGATGAATTTGAGCTTGATTTTAATGCATTGTCTATTCACTCACCATTCTGTGTAGTCCTTACTACATAGAGTATTCATTTATTCACTTTGTTTATAAGAGGTAGTTCATCAAATAGTTCATAACGTTGGGGTGAGAGGTAGTTTTTTTAAAACTATTAAAATGTGCAAATACGAATATTTGGAAAGAAAAACTGCTGTACACTTACACTTAAGTACATTCTTTAAAACTAATCATTTGTTGACTACAGCAGTCAGAATAAAGCACTCAACTATCTATTAAGTGGAAACAATCCATTAGGGTTGTATTTATTTTGACCTCTCAGTATGTAATGGAACTTCCATGAGTCTAAGTGAGAGCGTTTCTAGAGTGTTTACTTTGCATAAACTTCATCTTCTTGCACAACGCTTCAGCTATGCTCTAGGGAATAACATGATCATGAACTAAACCCTCTTATGTTATGCAAGATTTGTTTCTACTAACAGTTGGTGCTTAGCCATACTTATGTCATTTTTTTCCTGACTGTCAAATAGTAGAGGTCAGAATTTTCACAAGTTCCAAGATTCTCTAAAAGGATTTAGAAAACAACCTCTTCAGTTCAAAGGATATTTGAGAGGGTAGGGAGAATAAAAATTAAGGATAAGTTAACCTATGAACAGAGATAATCACCAAACAGGGATATATTCGGTGCATGTGTAATTTTATTGAACTACCTCTTTTCACAACCATGAGGAGAACAGATCGTATAGGCAAATGTGACAATTAAATCAATGTATCAACATGCAAGGAACTTGCAACACAGAACAAAAAGGAATGTAGTTTGACTGACAGTTTTTTCATATTGTTTTTCTAAGTTTGTTCGTACTGCTTCCATGTGCAACATTTATTACATTTTACAAAAATATGGTGGCCATAGAAAGGAAAACTTACCTACTGAGCAAAGGGGATTTTATCAAATGGAAAGGGAGAATATTTCTTTCATGGGGGTTGCAGAATCATTTCCGAAGGTCTTTTGTTGCAGGATATTCTCTCTTTGCTTTTCCAGAGACATCCACGCTCCTTCCTTCTCCACCAGGCTCTGCCCCAGGACGCTGGCCTCCAAGGGCTGCACCTATAGGCCCTGTGACCTCTCCTAGCCCCTGCCCCTACTCCTGGCCAGGCTGAGGATTGGCAGTGGCCAGTCCATCAGCCCTCCTCTCTTGCCTGTTCAGTCTAAGGGTGGAAACAGCTCCCTCTTTCGCTAGCCCCGGGTGCTTCACCATCCCTTCCCCTTTCCCCAAACCTGTCCATACCCTTCATTAAACTCTCCTGTCTTCCATTTGAACAACACAGAACCTAACGGATACACAAGACAGTGCAGCCATCTTTATTCCTTTTAACATCCTGTCTTAGTAATTTCCATATGATTTTCTGATTCTTGACGTAGTAGCATGAGAGAGACAGTAACTGATAAGAGTTCGGGTTCTGAATCCCGTAGACCTGCGTTTGATCCCATCTTTGCCATTCACCAGCTGTATAACTTTGGATAACTAAGTTACCTCTATGAACCTCAGTTTTCTCATCTATAAAGGAGGATAAGATACACTTTTAGCTTGTTTCAGGGATTAAATGAGATTATGCATATAAAGCATTTAGCACAGTGCTTGTCAACAAGGTCAGTTGGAGCTGCCAATACTGTCATTGCCGGGGCTTTGGCTAGGGCCCACTTGCTGATGTCCCATACCTGTTTGGAAATGTACGAGGTGCTCGTGTTCATACAGATGAGGCTTTCTTCATTGCAGCAGCCGCCACACCGGAACACGTTCACGCAAGGGGGCTTGAAGAATGTGTCGGTGGTCTTCCCCAGCTCGCTTGCAACCTCCACACACGTCTCTCTAGGGCTGCACTGGGTTCTTTGCCACTCCTCGTCTATAACTGCAGAGAGGAAGTTCATTGGGGCCAGCAGATGAAATGGCCCTGACATGCCATCATGTGCCAGGATTATGCTGAACACAGTCATTTTCACGTTTTTACTGATTTTTTGGTCAGCCCTTTAACCCAAAATTTTTTTGCAAAAATAATTAAATCCAAAGTCAGTGTTCCTTCCCATTTATATAATACCTTCACAGAATATAATAGTTTATTTCCCTTTGGGGAAGAACACCATGTCCTGTACATAATTACATTGGACACATCTGGAGAAGCTGGCTAATACAAAAGTAAATGGAAGCATGTACAGAAATAACATATAAATGTTATTTATCAAGCAATTTACAGGATACAGCTGGATAGCTTTTCTTCTACTGGAAGCCAAGTGTGGGTAGGTTTTAGCACCATCAAGAATATGTTTCTGTTGGTTGCTTAAGTAACTATAGTAGGATTTAAACTTGGCAAACACATGAATGGAAGTTGAAATGGAACTAATCTTTCTTCAAATCAGAGTTTTCTCATTTCCAAGTGCCCAATATTGATGTTTATATAAAAATGATGTAATAAGCTCGTTCATTTTAATAGAAGGAGCAATCCTCTGGCCAAAGCTAATTTGAGGGAAACAAGAAAAAGAGAAACATGCCTCTGGGAATAAAAAGAAAGTTACACACTTTCTTGTAAAACAGTACTTGCTTTTCTTATAGTTTCTTTTTTTAAATTAGATTTTGACACTTTGATACTTAACACTGTATAGCCTTTCTATGGCTGTTTTGGGGAAAAGATTCAATTTTATGATTAAGACACTTACAGACTTTAATAGAAGGAGCCACTTCCAGGAGCCATGGGATTCCACTTCCATGATTAGGTCAAAAAAGAGTGCAGTCGCTATCTCTCTCTTTCCCTCTGCCTCCTCCCCCCCTTCTCTGCTTTGATGAGGCAAGCTGCCAGACTGGAAAAGTCAGCAAGGAACCAGGACCCTCAGTCCAACAGCCTGTGAGAAATTGAGTCCTGTAAACAACCACGGAGTGAACTTGGAAGCACATCCTGCCCCAGTTGAGCCCAAGCCGACACCTCCATTGCAGCCTCTGGAGAGACACTGAAGCAGAGAAACCCATCTAGGCCATACCTGCATTTCTTTTTCTTCTTTTTTCTTTTTCTTTTTTTTTTTTTTGTGTGTGTGACCAGGAAGGGGATCGTAACCTTTGGCTTGGTGTCATGTGCACCGCGCTCAGCCAGTGAGCGCACTGGCCAGCCCCATATAGGATCCGAACCTGCGGCCTCAGTGCTCCCAGCGCCACTGCGCTCCCAGCGCTGCACTCTCCCAAGTGAGCCACGGGGCCGGCCCATACCTGCATTTCTAACCCACAGAAACTGTGAGATAAAAAGCATTGTTTTAAGCAGCTATGTTTTGGGGTGATGTGTTATGCAGCAACAGACAAACTCTTTTTCGTGTTTACCCCATCTTCAAAAATTTGTACTGGTCTCTCCCCGGATTATTCTGAATTCCCATATATGTAAACATATTTCCATTAGAAATGGATAGAGAGGACCTCTGCTTTAAGTATATAGATATAATGTTACTGTTTGAAATCTGACCCTGGTGTTTAAATTAAAACATCTTTTCCATATCCTTTTTCCTTTTTCACTCCTTAATCCCAATTTTCCTTCCATGTTGCTTCTTCATCACAAAATATAAGATGTTTGACTGGCTGAGGAGCACTGCATCCTACTACACAATTTACCAACATTTTGTGGTTTTTTTCATAATAAAATCTTCTATCCTGAGAAAAATTTTTTAAAATTTATGATTATGAATATTTATAAAAAGAGCCTGCAGGTTGTAAGCATGAGAAATAAATTACTCAATTAAGTATTAATATAGATATTATTTAATTCATTACTATTAATCATGAATCCTTGAAAAACAAGGTAATCAGCTTATAAAAGTATTCCTAGTTTAAAATTCTACTTAAATGTTGCTTTTTCCCTTTTTATAAAACTGAGTTTTGAAAGTTGGAGCAGTAAGATTTTAATTAAAATTTAGGCAGTTATGAGACAATGCCTCTGATTAAAGGCTTCATAACTCTATTATTTTTATTTATTTTTTTAATCCTTTTTTTTTGTCTTTTTTCGTGACCGGCAATGGATCGCAACCCTCAGTGTCGCGCCCGTACCGGACCGGGACTGACCACGGGATCGCAACCCTCGGTGTTGCTCCCGCCCCTCGCTCAGCCAATGAGCGGCTGGTCTGTATGTGGGATCCAAACCCTCGGCGGGAGCGCCGCCATGCTTCCCAAGCGGTGCACTATAGCAGTGAGCCACCGGGCCGGCCCAGATAACTCTATTATTTACTTTTTTCGTGCCCGGCAACGGATCGCAACCCTCAGTGTCGCGCCCGTACCGGACCGGGACTGACCACGGGATCGCAACCCTCGGTGCTGCTCCCGCCCCTCGCTCAGCCAGTGAGTGGCCGGTCTGTATGTGGGATCCAAACCCTCGGCGGGAGCGCCGCCATGCTTCCCAAGCGGTGCACTATAGCAGTGAGCCACCGGGCCGGCCCAGATAACTCTATTATTTACTACTGCCCAGCAGGACTGCTCTGTCTCAAGGAATTACCCTGAAATCCATAAGAGAGAGTTAATAACAAAATTGGTGTAACACACTGATCTGATTATTTACTGCCTCTAACTCAGTAAATAACATTATTTCTATATTTTTAATTGTTCTTTTGTGTTGATTTTTTTTATCTCAAAATCATATTGAATATGTTTCTCTACTGAGTAAACATAAAAAAGTCAGGATTCTGCACTAATAACAAACCTATGAAACCAAAGACCCCCCTTTAGTTCTTCGTGCCTGTCCTTCTCAATCTTTTGGAAAAAGTTGGTGCATTTGTTACTATCTGATAAAGAGAAAGAATTTATCTCCACACCCGCACACCTACCTTTTAGTGTATCAATGTCATAGAAAGTTGCGGCAAACCTGGTGGACCGATGGGATGCTGAGCGAGTGTCCATACTGGTAAAACTTTTGAGCTTCAGCCGGCATCTCCACAGCTTCCAGTCCTCAGAGTGCGTGATTCGCAGTAGTTCCTCCAAATTAGAAGCAGCCCTAATCTGCTGCTCAGAGCGTTCTAACATTGACCAAGATGACCGCTTAAAAAAATCAAAAATACCCATTTAGGAGTGAGTTATTAAATTTTAAATTTGTCTTGATAACCTTCATTGCTCACGCTTAAACATGTAAATAGATCTGAAAAGAAATTACAGAGATTATTCAAATGTACAGCAGTGCGTAGGAAAAATGACATCTAGTATTTTTGATTCACATTCAGCTTATTTATGATTGAATCAAAGGATTTACTTACTCATCCTAGGTTCTCAGAACACCTACAAAGGATATTGTAGTGGATTGAATGGTGGACTTCAAAATGATATTTCTACACCCTAACCCCGGAACCTTATTTGGGAAAAGGATCTATGCAGAGGTAAGGAAGTTAAGGATTTTGAGATGAGATCATCCTGGATTATACACATGGACCCTAAATACAATGGCAAGTGCCCTTATAAGAGACAGAAGAGGAAAAGACACAGACACAGGGGAGATGGCCATGTGAGGACAAAAGTGGAAATTGAAGTGACACAGCCACAAGCCAGGCATCTCCTGGAGCCACCAGAAGCTGGAAGAGGCAAGGAAAGATTCTGTCCAAGAGCCCGCAGAGAGAGCGCTGCCCTGCCAACGCCTTGATTTGGGGCAGCAACAGGAAATTAACACAGATTTTGATCATGCCATTTTTGTGACAGTAGCTGATGATGATTGTTTTCATTTCTATTATTTGTTTGAGAAACTGATCCACAAATGCCTGAGAACCTTGCCTACAGCAACACAAGAAAGAGATTTTAAGAGCCTTATAACCTGAATTTTCTGACTTCTAATCCTCTGGGTTTTTTCTTTTTAACCTATTTGCTATTTCAAAAACATGATTTTTTAAAATATAAAATATACTTCTAGAGTTTACGTTGAAAATTTGCTTTCCACACAGTTGCATAAATGGTATTGGCTGATAACAATGCAACTGTATTGGATGGGTTTGTGAGAAAAGAGACGCGGTCAATAAAAGATTTTCAGTATGTAGCCTCTTGTTCAAAAAATTGGGGGCTAGGTCATATAAATAATGATATTTGCATACAATGAAATACTGTATGATCATCAAAACCAGTGACGGTCCACATCCAACCCAGCCACGACTGAGCTGCTGCTGGAGCCCCCTGGCCTCCCTGGCTGGAATGAGGGGGGTACCACAGCCCTCGACCACACACCCCCTTCCTCCTCCTCCCACCCTATCCCCTTCAGCTCCACAGCAACATCTTAGAATGTAAAATAATAATACTAATAATAAATTAATTAAAATTCAAAACCAATGATGTAGAGGTATATTGAGATGGAAAGAATTGAGATTCTCCCTGGAACGTGCTGGAGAAATGATAAGGTCATCTGTCTATGGCTAGGCCCTGGAATTTTCTCTTGCTGAGCTTGTAGTTACTGGGTTTTTGTTTTGCTGGGTGGTTGGAATATGCAGGCTGAGGGCATTATTATAGCTGGGGTGAGGGAGAAGAGTAAAAACCAGGGTGGCTGCAGAATTGTGCTGAGAGAGGAAGGTGGAAGGAAGAGGTGAATGTCAGCTGCCTGCTACAAGAGGAAGAACGGTGGGTAGAAGCAGAGATGAGCAAATGGGACTTTTAGGAAGCTTTATAATGGGATGTGATGTACACCCTCCTCCATTGTCCCTCAAAAATTGTATTTAAAATCAGCATCATTTATTAGTATTTTGGGAGTAGATTTTTTTTTTGGATGTGATAATGGATGCTAAGAATTGTTCAAAGGTGGGTGCTCATGAGAGCAAGCATGCTCCAACTCATACGTGGTTCAGTTATGACATGATATCTTTTAAAATTTATGTGTGTATAATATACATCATATATATGTACATACATACATATGTGTACATATGAAGAACATCTAGAGACATATACAGGAAAATGTAAACGATGGTTATTCTTTAATCAGGGGTTGTCAAACTGCAACCTCCTGGCCTAATTTAGTTTGCTGCTTACCTGTTTTTAGAAATAAAGTTTTTACTGGCATACAACCATGTCCATTTGTTTACATATTGTCTATGGCTGCTTTCATGCTACAATGACAGTTGAGAAGCTGAGACAGAGACCTTCATGGCAGCTTCAATCTGAGACCACCTGTCTTTTTTCTTTTTCTCAATTCTTTAATATTCTCAGCTATTATCTTTTTCATTAGTCCATCTATAATATTGTTTCTATTTTTTTGGAATACTTACCAGACGTATGTTGGAGCCTTTTAATCATCTTACATTCCTCTTAAATGTGCTTTTATGCTTATCTATTTTCCCCCTTCGTCTGCCTTTAATGTGTTATGGGTAACTAATTGGTTCATCTTCCCACTCACCATTCTCCAATTGTGTGAGTCTAGAGTTTAATTTGTTGTTTTTAATTTCAATCATACTTCTAATTTCAAGTATTTCCACCTCATTCTTCTTCCTATACACTTTTGTCTCATTTCTATATGTTTTTCCTAATTCATCATTTTTATTTTATGAATATTATTCTTGTATTTCTTCTAGGGTCCTAAATATACTTAATTATTTCTTCAACTTATTTTATATTTTAACTTTATATATATGATTTATATCCTGATTATTCATTTTACTGCTATCTCTTTAGTAATAATTACATGTATTTTCTTTGGAATTTTGTTTAGTAGTTTCATTTTCATTGGGAGATTCATTTTTTTCTCACTATTCTTTCCTCATTATTTTGAAGTTTTGTGGTTTTACCCCCTGACTCCCTGGACCCTGAATCCACAATTTTGTTGAGTATTTATGATTCAGAGGTCAGCTTAGCTCAAGTCCTGATTGCAAGAAAGTATCTGCTTCCTTCTATGCCCCTAGTTAAGCAGTTTCATAGAAGATGCAGCTCCAGGCAGCAACGAACAGTAAATGTTTCTTCCTCTTTCGTGCATCTGATGTAGTGTACTCATGGAGCCCAATTCCCACTGGAGCTGAATTCTTGATGTTCTTTGCCTTCCAGACTCAGATCGATCAGTTCTGTAGCTTTAGCTTCATGGTTTTAGTACCACTTCTCCAAATGTTTGCCATCTGCAGATGTTTACCATCACTTGATCAATTGTACCTTTTATGGACTAAGAAAGATCTCAGAACATGAATCTACAAGATCGTCTTGCCTGGAAGCTGCTGTACTTTGAATGCCCCACAAGCTCAAATTGGAATTTAATTCCCAATACAGAATTTGAAAGGTGGGTCCTTTAAGAGGTAATTGGATCATGAGGACTAGACCCTCATGAATGGATCAATCCATTCGTGGGTTAATGGGTTAATAGTTTAGTGGGTTATCAGGGAGTAAAGTGGAGGCTTTATAAGGAGAGCAAGTGACCACATTAGAGCACTCATGCCATTCTTGCCATGTGATACGCTGTGTGGCCACAGGACTCTGTACAGAGTTCCCACCAAGAAGAAGGCCCTCACCAGATATGTTCCCTGGACCCTGGACTTCTCAGCCTCCAAAACTGTAAAAAATTAATTTCATTTCTTTATATATACCCAGTTTCAGGTATTCTGTTACAAGCAACAGAAAACAGACCAATACAGAAGCCCAGATGTGAGTGTGTGTGTGCACGCGCGTGTTTAATAAAGGAGACAGAATCTTGAACATGTTTATAAGCCAAGGTAAAGTGTCAACAGAGAAAGAAACTGAAAGTACATGCAGGAGAGATAAAGCAGGAACCTACAGGGGTTGGTTTGACATGAGTTCCAGAGATACATGGACACAGTATGAGTAAATGAGAGGATCACCCTCTGAAACAGAAGGAACATAGGGAATGCCATGGGTTTGTAGGTAGCAGGACTGCCTGGGAAGCTCAGTGAGCTCATACCTCTGGATTCTCACTTCTCTATGAAATCCGAATCAAGGCAATTTTCTGGGAGCAAGGGGAAGGAGAAGCTTGAGGAACATAGATGGTATTTGCGGAATCGGACGCAAATTTAAGAAGTTTGCCATAGCTTCTTCGTCTAAGAAATCTGGGGATGAAATGGAATAATTGCTAATGTCTCTGGCAAGTCTGAAATTCGATGATTCTCCATTAATGCTCATTTGCCAGGAGTCTCTCTTTTCTCGATTATTCATTCCTTCTTCTAGTAGGACAGTATAACTACTTAATAACCAATTCAATCTTCAAAATGAAATTTTGTGACAACACTGCTTTATTAATATAATAAAACCAACCAAACAGCTTTTTAAAGGTTTTTAGAATTGTACTGTATTGAAAGGATTTTTATTTATTAAGTCAAATCTCCTTCAATGCCATCCATAAATACAGACGGATGTACGGCTTCATAGTTCTAACAGATTTCAATTCAATCTCAGAAATATTTTTGAACTATCCAACCGTGAGAACTCAGGAAAAAATATCAAATCTCTGGAATGAATTAAAGTCATTAAATGGCTTATGTGACTTGCCACATCATAAAAAATGTTGTGTTTACTCAAGTCCTCACAGTTATTTAAGCATACTTTAAGCCCCATAATTTAAAATCTAATTTGAAATAACTTAGAAATTGCAGTCATTTTGCTATTATAAGTGGAAGTACTAACAATTCAACCTAAGTGGACACCTGACAACTCAACAGGGGCATACATTTACAAAGGGTCACAAATGACTGTTTCCAATAAACTTTCTGCACTGGTTGATTTTTGTATAATCAGCTTTATTTTATCTGCTTGGGTAAGACAAAAATAAAAATTAAAAAGTGTAAATATAGTCCCCAATACAGATTTAAACTATTGATTTCAATGGTTCTAACTAATAAACCTTTGCCAAATAAGTTGCTCATAGTTTCTTCCTATTTTCTGATGGAAATGCTAATCAAAACTAAAATAATTAAAAAGCAGTCAGCAAGAGGAAGGAAGTGAAGCAGTTACCAGATCTCTGCTTTTTATTACAGCCAGCAGCTTTTTTTCATGGTAATTAATCTAAGACTGTTAGCAGTTTCACTCTTAAATAACAAATGATTCTCTGATTTCTTGGCTACCACAAGCCAGTTTCTAAA